TTTTTTTTGGTTTTTCTCCGGTACCGGGAACCGAACTCACGACCTTGCGCTTGCCAGGCAGGCGCTTTTGCCACTGAGCTAAATCCCCAGCCCCTAAATTTGGAAATTTAATGACATTATAATAAATCATTCTTGGGAGAATGAAAACAAAATTGGAATTACAGACTACTTTAAAAATATCAAGCCGGGTGCAGTGATTTGAACCTTTAGTCTCTGGAGGGAGTTTGAGGCTGAGGTAGAAGGATTGATTGAGTATATGAGTTTGAAATCAGCCAGGGCAGCATAGTAAGACCTTGCTTCAAACAAAAACAACCACAGCAACAATCATAACAAGAACAACAGCAACAATAACAAATTACCACAAATCAAATAAAACAACAAAACAAACCCAAAAGATCAAAACTATTAAAATGTTGGGAGATTAGTTAATGAAGAAAAAAATCATAAAATGGGAATAAGCCAAGTAGCCAAATGAAGAGGCTAGAAAGAAACACAAAATAAGGATTTAAAAAACTGGTTATAAAACATTAATTAGGGTTAAGTACTAAACTCATGAAATCAGGAAAAAGGCAAATTGACAAATAAATATTAAGGAGATTATTTGAACACTTATACAATGAAAAAGCAAATCTATTGAAGTCTTAGCCAAGTAAAGAGACAAAACAGAAAATCTACACACAAAAAATAAGTCAGAAAAGAATATTATAGAGATACATGAAAGCTCAAAATGAGAATGCTTAAAATTTGCAAAATTAGAAGAAAAAGAAGAAAAAGAAGAAAGCTCAAAATGTGTATGCTTAAAATTTGCAAAATTAGAAGAAAATGTTAATTTTGTAATAAAATGTATTTTTATACTTGACATAAGAATGCAAGAGTGCAACTAAGCCAATAATTCTGGAGACAAAAAATTGTGATTTAAGTTATTTCTAAAATAAATATTGGGCTCCAGTGTTAATATTAATTATTTCAAATTTTTTAAAAATATGAAATCTTAAGTAATTGTAAGTTTTTTGAGTACTAAAAAACACGAAACATTTTCCATTCTTTTTATAAGGCTTGCATATGCTTGATAACATGATATGACAAAAATAAAATAAAAGTGGGCAAAGAAGAAAAAAGACACAGACAAGTTGCATTTATGGATACAGTTGCAAAAATGTATAAATACAATTTTACAAAATGGAATTAAGTTGTATTTTAAAAATGATCAGACAAAATGACCAAAGAGTCTTTACTTTGGGGCTTTAAGAAATGATTCACATTAGGATATGTATTGCTATAATTCATAGCATCAACATGTTAATGGAAACATGGAAATTTACGTCATTTTAGAATATTGTCAAACTGCATTTGATGACATTCACCATCCATTTCTTTACATACAAAGGGACTAGCTGGGCATTGTCTCAACCTCAGCATATATTGTCAAAGTAAAAGGTAAAAACCAGGTGTGATTTCAGCAAAATCAGAAAAAAAGAACATTCATGTTCTCTGTTGTTTATGATAGTACTCTAATAGCCAACACAGTCATACCAGAGAAAGAAAAAAAGATAAGAAAGAATCAAAACTATGATTTTCTCATTGTTTATCTAGAAAAATCTAAAATAATCAAATAAATACTAGTTATAAACAGCAAAACAAGGGTCTGATTACAAAATAAATGCATATAAAGCAATAATTTTCTAAAAACCACAAATAGAAAGTACAGAGGGAAGTCTGTTTATCTTAGCAATAGAAATAGAAACTAAGAATAAACCTAAGTAGAGACACAAAATCTTGGAAATCATAAAAGCTGTTTACATGTCATATCTAGTTTCACAGTGTTATTATTGAATTAGTTATAGTAGTATAATAAATTTGCCTATCAGTTTTTCCAAATTTCCCCTAAGGATGGTATTGAACATAAGTTTATTGCAAAGCTCTCAGAGTAGTGTTTAATAAACTGAAATAAATGTGTATCTTCGTAAGCTACTCTTTACTTGATTATAAATTTAAAAAGTACAGTACATGACTTTTCTTTAGATTCTGAATGTAGCTAGTGTCTCATCAGTGTCCATGACTTTGGTTTTGACAAGAAATGTCTCCCCTGTGTCCTGGTCATACTTTATTGTTTGCTTACTGTGTAGAATGGACAATATATGGCTGTTCAAAAAGGAGGGAGGGAGTGGACTGGGGATTTAGCTCAGCGGCAAAAGCGCCTGCTTGGCAAGCGCAACGTCGTGAGTTCGGTTCCCGATACCGGAGAAAAACCAAAAAAAAAAAAAAAAGGAGGGAGATTTATGTTTCCCAACCAAGCAATTTTTACACATGTCCCCTATGTACATTGTTCACCATGATGTCATTGAACTAAAATTATCAGATCTCATTTAGGTAGGCTCAATCTACCATAATGCAAAGTTCCGTCTAGATTTAATTTTCTTTACTAACAATTAGGTTTCTTACGTTTTTGCCAGTTGCTTTCTTTTTCTTGTGATGTCAGCCATCATGTCATGTTCTGAGGGTAATTTTTTCAGTCCTAAGAAAAGATAGACATTTAATGACTGTCAGGAAACCTGGGGCAGGTAAGTAAACAAAAAGACTGATTTTGCATAAGAATAATTATAACAGGTCATATGGAACTCATAATCGAAGCCCAGGGAAATATCATTCTCAGGTTGCTGGGAAAGAGTGTCAGCTTTATATTATTAGGAGTGGGTTTTTGAGTTGTTTCTCAGTTTAAATCCATAGTTGAAACTCTTGGTTTTTTTTTTTTTTTTTTTTTTTCCGGTACCGGAAATCGAACTCACGACATTGTGCTTGCCAGGCAGGCACCGTGCCGCTGAGCTAAATCCCCAGCCCCCATAATTGAAATTCTTGACCATTAAGAATCCCCGCAATGTGCTTTTGGTGGACACATAATATTAGTGCATGTTTATGAGATACAGTGTGAGATTTTGATTCATGTATATAAAAGGTAACAATAATCAATGTAAGTAATTAGGGCAACTTGAAAATAATTAGCATAACTACCTCCTTAATTTTTTATCACTCATTTTTTATGGTATGTATACTCGAGATTTTCTTCTGAGGATTCTACTTTGAAGTATATAATGTATTATTGTTACCTATATTCACGGTGGTGTGCCATGGGATCTTTCAATCTGACTGTAACATTTTACAGATTGGCAAACCTCTCCCCATCTTCCCCCTGGTCTCACCAGTCTCTGGTAATCACTATTCTAGTCTCAACTCCTATGAGCTCAGCTCTTTTAAGATGCCACTTAAGTGAGCCCATCCAATGTTTGTCTCTATGTCTTATTTCACTTAACATAATAGCTTCCACCTCTAATTCTGTGAATGTCAGATTTCATTCTTTTTATGGCTAATATTTCATCATATATAATGTATATATATCATTTTTGTCTCTATGGAAATGTGTTACATTATATGTATATATTATATAAGATAATATATAGATTGATTCCATATCCTATTTTAAATAGTAATGTAATAATCTTCTAGAGAGCCTCAGACTCTAGTGTGACTTGCCTCAGAGCATGTGGAACTGTCTCAGTTCCTCCTGTGTTCATGAAGTGTGCAGTGCTGGAAAATTCCCTAGGACAGCCGTAACAAACTGACTTCAGTAAGAGGATAAACGAATAATGTTTTTTTAAAAAGTGATTTACATGTGCATTTGTATATCAGGGGAAGAGAAGGGCAGAGCAAATGAAGATTAGAGTAGGAGAAAACACATGAAAATCAAATGAACAGAGTGAAAGGAATAGGGCCAGTCCCTTCTCTTAAACTGTTCTCTTTATTGCCTGCTGTGACCTGGAGGCACAATGCTGCTTTCCAGGTTCCTTGTACCTTCCCCAGTCAGCGTCCATAAGTAGTAAATCTTTCAGCTTACAGCACTTCCTATCGTGGTGGTATATTGAAGTTTTCACCTTTCATGCAAAGAACAAAGGGTTAGCCCAGGCTCCTAGGTCCTTGTCCTAGGATTCTAGGGAGAAAATAACTTTGAACTCCCTGTGCCAGAGCCATGGCTGTACAGACATAAAGTTAGCCTCTATAAACAATTCCCACTTGTGAAGGATGTCCTGGTCATAGGGTGGATACATAAGCCATCCTCCTGGTAAAGTAAGTATCTCATGAGAAGGAAAATATTATCATCAACATCCAGCTCCCCTTCATTTCCAATTAGTGCAAGTTTTTAGCAACTCTGGAATTAGAACCCAGTTTACTTGGAGGCTCACAAAATAATCAGGCTCCATATAGCACTGACACAAATGTATGAAATACTCATGAGTACTACGAAATGTCTTACAAATCAGCTTTAGAAGATGAAATGTACAAAACAGCCCAGGAACAGACTTGCAGAACAGAAAGGCGATCTAACACATTAAAACTCTATTTTACAATATCACCAGTTATTCTCCTAGATAACCAGAGAAATAAGAGCATATATGCAGTAAAAGACATGTTAGGTGTTGATAGCAGCACTGTTTATAGCTCTTAGTGCCCACTGACATAGAATGGGAAAACTGTGAACATATTTATCAATATCCATATATCTAGTGGGGTACTATATTACACAGAAAATAAATGGCCACAAAATATTGATACATTTCACAAATACCACAGTGAGAGAAAGAAGGAAGCCAAACACAATGGAATTCATATTGTTTTCATTAAAATAAAAAGGGAAACAAAACAAAACAAATTTTTCCAATTAGAATAGGCATAACTGTTACCTCTGGTATTGGTGATGAGAGTGAGGAAGGAAAAGAACATAAGGGGAGCTTGTGAGTGATAGTCATGTTCTTCTTTGTTAATCTAAATGATAGTTGAACGGGGTTATATGTGTTCAAATTGCAATAATACAGCAAGCTATTCATTCATTATATGTGCACTCTTCTATGAATATATTATAGTAAAATCTTTAGGAGGTCTCACTTTTAAAAGGTAAGTAGATATGAGTAGAGAACTGAAATTATGCATGAGAAATGATTGATTAGTCACTCATCTTTCTGGTCACCACCATGTCAAGCATGTTTCATTTTTCAACATACCACTAATGTCGTGTGTTTGTAACCATATTTCTAGCAATGAATTTATTTGCAAAGAGAAAGAGAAGGAAGAGATATTTACAGAAGCCAACACACCAAAGAACTATGCTGAAGAGATTTTTAAATAAGCATCAAATAAGTTATTACCTAAAATGACACCTGAGAGAACAGACATGTGCCTTTGAAAATAAATGATAAAGAACAGAAGAACATCATAAACCACTACATAGTCTCTTCTCACAGTGAAAATTAGTACACTTTATAATTTCCTGACTTGCCTAATTGGTAATTTTATTTCTCAGAAGGTAGGAGATTTAATGAGGGCAGCCTTGTACTGCATTCAGACCCATCAGGAAACAATTGTCCTGACAAGAAAGATTGCCAAATTCTCATTAACTAAGCATGTAGAAATAAGAGAAAGAGTTCCATGTGATTCAGTTAGTTTACTCTGGTTCTCAGAATCTATGAAGCACCTCAAACTCGAGTTCTTTCTGGAACTCAAGCGATTTTATTTTGCTCAGAAGCATCAATTTGAGTGAGAACTTGGAAAATGAGACAAGAATATGAGCCAGAGTTGGAGTTCACCAGCAAAGTAAAATAATTTCACCACCTTTCTGAAATACATTCGTAGGTAGATTTTCTTTGTTTTACTACTTTGGCCATTTTCTATTTTCTTAAAGCCTCACCTTGTATTGGTTTCTGTGGAAAGAACAAAATATAGACACCCAATATATAAATCTAATTTGATAACAATTTCAAGTGCTTTCTGCTTTGTTTCTTGATTGCTTTCATTTTAGAAGAATTCTTTTAGAAACTATAAATCAAAATTCAAGAGAGTCCAAAAGTAATATAATTCTAATGGTGAAATTTCAGGTATCTTGATAGAACAAGGGAAGAGATAAATTGACATGAAGACTTCTAACTTCTTATGATCTCAGTGCATAATTAGAAGTATACTTTGCTTATGGAGAAGACCTGTACATACCCTTGAATACACGAACAACCCATCGGCTTTGCATTTCTGATATGGGAATAGTGGCTCCTATTGGCTGGATTATGCCAATGAAAGCTAGTGTTGGTTTCTTTAGCTGAGGGGGGAAGACAAATTTAAACATGGAGCGCTGGCTGTCCAGGATTGCTGAGTCATCCTCCAGGAAAGGGAAAGAGAGTTTGTAGCCGGTGGCAAAGACAACAGCATCAATGCTCTCTTCAGTGCCATCTTCAAAGATGGCGGATGTGGCAGTGAACTCCTTCACATTTGGCTTTATCAGCACTCTACCGGTAATTATGTGATTTGCCAGGTCATCACCAAAGGTGGCCTGATGGCTGAGAAATCTGCATGACAGGAAATGTAAAATGAACTGAGTATACATTTTCTTCACAAAGAATTTATGGTAGGCAAATGTTCAGGAAACAACCATAGTATTTCAATAATTTTGATGCTCTTCATTGGTAGTCCTAGAAAGTTGATATGGTTTATTGGTTAAAAACCTCATTTGGAGAATCAGAACAGGATATCTATACTAGTCCTGCTGCTCAACAGCAATAAGTCATGCAGTACTTTAGCTTCAGTTTCCGGTACTGCAAGAACATAATGATATAGAATATAATAATATAGTAACTATATAAGATATAAGACCTATAATGATATAGTTATGTAGACATGGGGGATATCTTTGCAGATATATATATAGATATATAGATATATATCCAATAATAATATAGCTATTTAGGACATAGGAGTGATAATAATGACATAGGAACTGTAACAATGACATAACAGATCAATTGTGCCAATCAGATGAGAATGTACACTAAAAATATTTTTAGCAAGTAACAGTTTTATGGTATAATAACCCAATTATATAGTGCTAGTCAGGTGATAACACATTAAATATTTTAGATAATATTTTTATTATTAGCATATTCCTTTGCTCTTGATATCATGTAAAGGTTGATGTTAATTAGTCATCAATATTTTTCAAGTGTCTCCATAGTACAGTTGTATGATTTTAAGTTTGGATCATCAATGGGAAAATTAGTGTTCAGTGACACTCAGATCTTTGGCAACTCTAATGGAAAGCTTGAACTATGACTTAGCAGCAAGATGTCATATTCCCAGGTCTATATTATTATTAATGAGTATGTAGTCCATATTCTGAATAATTTCTCCATATAAAAGAAACTAGAGGCACCCACATTACCTTAGTTAGTCATGAAATTATGTTTATATCCTTGAGATACTTCACAAGACTAATTTTCTCTTGTTACTGACTATGTTAATTCAATCCTTTATTATTTCTTGGGAAGATTTAATAACTCTCTAGGGTAAAATAGGAGAGGAGCAAGAATGAAATTTAATTATCAGGTAGAGGAAATGGACCAAGAAAGAAAGTAAGAGTGGACACAGGTGAGAGAACTCAAGATGGGAGACATGGGACAAAAAGACTGGGCTGGGCTAGAGAACTGGCTGGGGTTGAGTGGGGTGAGACATAAGAGAAGTGTTTGGTTTACAATTACAGAATAAGCCTTGGATGCCATCTGAGGGTGCAGTTATGGGTGTGGATGGTGCAGACAGAGTAGAATAGGGGCCCAGGGCAGTGGAGGAGGAGGTCTGAATGCTGAAACAGTTACACATGCAGACACTGAAAATGTACTGATTGACAGGTTTGGAGCTAACTGTGGAATCATAGTGTAGAATTTAGGGAGTGAACAGGAAGAGTTGACAGATAAAACTGAGAGGTAGGAGCATGCCATAGTGAGATGGTGTGAATCTCAAATAAGCCAAGTATTTGACAGTTTACTCCCCTTCTCATCACCCCCACATCTCTTTCTTATATCTTAGTGGAGTGACCAAGAGCTACTTCAGTATTCTCTTTCAAAATAAATTCTTTCAAGAGCTAGAGACATAGCTCAGTAGTGTAGCACTCCTCTAAGCATAGTTACAGCCATCATTTGATCCTAAGCACTGAAAAAGAAAATCCTATGAAGAATTAGATTGATGCCTTTATTTCTTATAGCACACTACAGCTTATAGATTCTACTGTCTACTAGCTTAAAAGTATAGATTAAATCTTAGACCTTACCTGTGTTTGGGTTGCAGCCCATAATTGGCATGGTTAAACCTTGCATTTAACTTATTCTCTGCCCATCTGTTGATCAGGAATGTGGGCCAGAATTTTTGGACTGTACTATTGTAACGAGTGAAGAGTGTGACATCCATCGGATTTCCATTATCCCAAACCCGGGTCCATATCCATGTACCTCGTTTTGTGCTAATGAAAACCTGCAAGAGAGGAGTGGCCACCCAGTAACAGCTTTTTTCCTTATCACCCCAATCTCAGATACCACTTGCTTATTCTTCATGCTGCCCTTCCTGCTCCCTCACTCTTTAGCAGATCTAGTTATTTCAAATCCTTCCAGTTCAACTACTATTCGTCACAGACCTATTCCCTTTGTAATGTTTCCTCTAGTTCCACTGAATGCCTGGAATCTCTTACATCCCTATATGTGAAAAGAAATGTTAACACAAATAAGTTGTGTTGGGAGTTAGAAGTTAGTATCCCTACTCTTTCTAAGCTCTGTCATTCCATACTGCAGTACATATAAGGGAGACATATCTGAATACAGTCTCAGATAACAATAAAAATAAAATGAGAAAACTCACCCTGGGATTTTTCTCACATTACATTTGTAAAACCCCACAGAATAAAGTATAAAATGCATGAAAACCAGAGCGCATATTTTGAATTATTTTTCTCTCTATTTTGAATCATTTAGCTGAGACATCAAAAAAAGTTTCAGGGTTTCAGTGAAAATATGAGTTTCAGAGATCATTAATTGCAGAGATCTGTGACTCAGCAGTGTGCCCAGTTCAGAGAACATGACTTGGGTAAGGAGTTCTCATGCAGAAAACTTTAAGCATGGGAAATCTTGTCTCTGTTTTTTGGAAATCCTGAAGCAAAACAAAGAATTGACTTTGAATTATGAAATCATCCCTCCATATTCTTAAAGAGTCTATGATATACTATGAAGAGAAAGTTAGCTCCTTTTTTCTTACTCTTGATAAAATTCTGTCCCATTCCCAGTACTTCATTCATAAATCAGCAGTACATTTCTCCCCATGCATGTGTATGTTTTCTGTTTAAACTGTATTTCCCCTATGAACACTTTGCTGTTTTTTGTAAAATTCATTTCAGATTGAAAATTTCCATCTCACTGGGGTAGTTACACATATGAAATTATACCTAACTCTAGTTTGATTGTTTTATTTCATGACTCCAATGCATTATGATGTAGAAGACTACTATTATTGTGGTTTTCTTTATTTTTTTTCTCATGAATAGTCAATAAAAAAATGTGCCAGTGCCTTGCTGAGGTAGCAGGCAAAATCGGTATACCATCACTAAGCAACAGCAAAAGTCTGGACTCATGGGGGTTGTACTTTGAGTCGAACTTATGCCAAAGCACAGAATCAGTGTATAGTGCCAGACCTGTTCAGCAACATGACCGATCTCGCTAGCCACATCTGCTCCCGAATTCCCGATGCCAATCACAACTACTCTTTTCCCCACAAAGTCATCTGCGTGCTTGTACTCCCAACTGTGGAGATATCTGCCTTTGAACTTCTGGATCCCTGTAAGGAAAGGGTTGAATCCCCACATTACAAACCGAGATGGGAAAGGCTGCTGGGTCAAAATTCTCTCATAAACTTGAAATGTATGGTACTTAAATATCATCTGCGTGTGCTGCCAATATGACAGAGTGATGTTATCTAAGGAACAAAATATTCAATGACAAGGATAATATGATAAGAGCAAAATAAAAGTACCCTAGCACTTCCTTTCAAAAATGCAATTTTAGTTGATTTCTTGATAATAGCCATTTTCACTGGGGTGAGATGGAATCTCAGTGTTGTTTTAATTTGCATCTCTAGAATGACCAATGATGTTGAACTTTTTTTTTCATATATTCATTTACCATTTATATTGCTTTATCTGAGAAGTGTGTGCATTCATCTCAGATGCTCAGTTTTGGATTGGATCTTTGAATTTCACAGATGCTGAAGGGACTGTGGGGAAAAAGGAAGCTTTCTCCACTGTTGGTGGGAGTGTAGACCGGTGCAATCACTATGAAAATCAGTGTGGAGATTCCTAAAAAAAAACTAGGATTAGAGGTCCCATTCCACTCACCTATTTCCCTTTTGGATATTTTCTCAGAAGAATTAAAAACATCATACTACAGCTATACATGTGCACCCATGTTTATAGCAGCACAATTTGTCATAGCTAAATCTTGGAAACAACCTAAATGCCCATCAACAGAGGAATGGATAAAAAGATGTGACTTGAGACATTTGTCGGGAAATGGATACAACTCAAGACCATACTCATAAATGAAATGAATCAGTCTCACATGTGAAAACATTGTATTGTCTCCCTACTGTAAGAAGCTGAAAGAGTAAATAAGACCCAAACGTACACTAGATATTGTGAAATGGGAAGAAATTGCTCAAAAAGGAAATAGAAACTGGAATGGGGGAAGGGAGAAAAGAAAGAAGAGAAAAGGAAAAATATTTTATATATACATATGCGCACAAAATAGTTAAGACAGCTATACTACCAATTGCTATTAGTTTACTGAAAAGTAAGGTTTATGCCTATATTGTTTGATCAACTTTCTATGCCTGTATTTTGTAATATGAACAGCTACTTTGAAGATAGCAGTACACAGTGTACTAACCATTGTTATTCTCCATCTTGCTTTGAAATTTTATACCACTTTTTTCATTTTAGGACAGTAGTAAAAAAAAGAACAATAGCAAAATACCAACATCACAGACATAAACAAAACAAAGCAAGAACATTAAAGATGATACAGGGTTTCAAAACAAAATGATAGGCATTAACAGTTATTGTTACATTAGATATTGTTATCTTCAACTAAGTTGCTCAGATTACCAGATGTAAGAATGGAAGATTGTTGAAACCATTAAAGAGAATAAAACTTAATTATTTAAAAAACATTAGAGATGATACAGAGTTTCACTAGACAAGATGGTAGGAATTCACCAGTGGTTGTTCTATTGAATATTGTTGTCTTCAAATCAGTTGCTCAGATTACCAAATATAAGCATGCAAAATTGGTCAAAATATAAAAAATTTTAAGCATTAACCGTTCCTTTCAATAAACCACCAGACATTAGCAGTACAGTTATCTCAGCTATATATCTATATCTATATATATATACACACACATATATGTATGTATATACATATATGTGTATATATACATGTATGTGTATATACATATATGTGTATATATACATGTATGTGTATATATACATACATGTGTATATATATATTTGCCTCCCTTCTGTTTTTATTGTTTATTTTTCTTTTCTTTAAAATAAAAATGAAATTTTATATTTGCTCAATGTGATGCCTCTTACGAGTTTAGGAGCTTATAATATTTTTCTTGCTTTCTACTTATATATGAGGTAGCGTCTTCACTTTTTGTGATTCTGTGAAGGAATGCACAGCTGTATAAAGACCTTTAGCAGTATACAACGGGACTAATGCAAAGAAACTGAGTACAAACCATGTATGGAATTTAAATTTCAAAGTAATGATATTAAAATGGTATGTACCATTTAACTTTAATGGTATATGTTACTAAACAACGTAGTTTATAAGGTTACTGTGTAGAAAGGTTTTATATAATTTTCCTTTTTTGCCCAATCTGGTGTGTATTTTAAACAGAAAGCACATTTCAGTTTGTGCAGCTGCATTTCAAGTGTTCACAACTGACCTGCGGCTATTTGCTTCCTCACTGAACGATGTGAGCCTTGAATATTAGGCATTTAGTACTCCACGACTAACTCATTAGTATTTTAAAGCATTTTGAAAAAAAATCTGATTATATTAAAAATATTTTGTGACCTTGGCACAAATCCTATGATTATATTGGCATATTCTATTCATTGAGTGCCATGACCCTTAAAATGTATCCAGATTTTATCCTCCTTTTTGATTCCTACCACCATTGCTTTAACGAAGTCTCTGTTATCATCTCTTTATAAACTGTTAAAGAACCCCTCAAATTAATATTCTTGTTTTCTCGAGGGACTTCTAGTTTCCAGTTTCAGAGTTAATTCTATTACCTAATCTGCCATAACTGTTATAAAATCACCCTACACTTTTCTCTTTCTTTTTTTGAGGCAGGGTCTCACTATGTAGTTCAGGCTGGCCTTGAATTCACTATGTAGCTCCAAGTGGCCTTAAACGCATGATGATTCTCTTGCCTCAGCCTTCCAAGTGCTGGGATTACAGGGGTGCACCACCGTGTCTGACAGCCACACACTTTTTGTAGTCCCACTTTGCCACATAAACCCATGCACCCAATACCTGCTGTTGTACAGGTTTTAAGGCCCTTAGAATCCACAGACTTTTTTCCACACTCAGCAGCTAAATACCTGCAAAATCCTGTAAGGGCAGGTACTTTGCTGTGTAATGACCACTGCAGATCATGATTCCATCAAAGACATGAGTCTTCTGTTTCCCATCAGTTTCTACCACAACATCCCACTGGCCAGAGGTTGAAAAATCAAGGCGTTTCCTCACAGTGCACACCTTGGACTGGGGAGTAAGGAAAAAAGGCAACTTCAGTTCTAGAGCATTGTTCTCAGACTTCATTTTTTTCCTAGCATTCCACTGTATCAAATAAGGTAGGTGGTAATTTTTGTATTGATACCTCTTGGTTGTTTAGGATTTTTATTAACAACTTCCTTTCAGGCATTCTTTCTCCATTTCAAGGTACTTTGGAGAACGTATTACATTAATTTTTTATAATCCATGTTCTATAAAATTAATTGAAAAATAGATTTTAGGGTTGCATCATGAGATAATGTTCTTTTGAGAGAATCAAGAAGACTGTAACAACTCTTCAACAATATTGACAATGAGACATGATCATTCTTATAGAACTGTGGTGAAAAACACAAATTGAAACCATGCTTCCACTTGGTTTGGCTTGAGCAGGCCAGTCTGGAGGTAATGTCAAGGGTTTCATTCCTTACCAGGAACTGGATATGTTTCATCAGACCAAAGTGCCTGGCATACATCCTGAGATACTCCATTATTTTGGAGTTGTGCAGGTAGTTGGGATAATGATCGGGGAAAGGGTAGTCGCTGAAGGCTGTCATTTCTTTGGATGTGTTGCAGAACAAAGACTTGTAAATCGAAGCACATCCGCTTTCAGGTGTTTCCTACAGGAAACAAAAACATCTCATTGCTTCCAGGATTCAGAAACATAGTGAAGAATGTGTTAGGCCTGATCATACCTGGGGTATTGGGCTCATGTTTCTTTGAAAAGAACACATTTGTCAGCTTTCTGTCGTATTGCTCAACAGGGTGCGGCAATGGATTTGCTTTCTTATGATGGAAAGCAACCCTGTTTATAGTGATGCCAATAATTACATCACATCAAGATAATGATTACATTTACTAAAACATAGTGCAACTAGCAAAACCACAACAAACAAAATTGTAACAAAAACACAAGAGATACTTCCTAGTGATAATAAACAGCATCACAATCTAAGGAATTTGGTTCAAGAGAAGGAGCTGGATATTTGACTTGGCACAAAATTATCATGGAAATATGTGAAATATTAAAATATAAGAACAGGCAAAATTAGATAAATACGCTAAGTATTTAAGTGCAAAAGTGACTGATATTTAATTGAGACATTATTGTTAAGACTACATTTCCTTATTTCTGTCCATTTGGTCACAGCAGTTAGGATCTGGAATGTGTCTCGAAAGTCCATGTGGTTAAAGGAGATTTCCAGTCTATGATACAACCTTTGGCAGAGTGACTGGTAGAAGGATATTACATCATCAAGGTTGTGCCCACCAAGGAGGAACTGGGACAGCAGCTCCTTCTGTCTTCTTGATTCTCATCTTCCATGAGATTAACAGACCTCCTCCATCATGTGCCAGACCACCAAGGCTAAGTGATGATGGACTGCAACCTTGAAACCATGATACAAATTGATCTTTGCTCCTTATATTTTGATTTTAACAGGTATTTTATTACAGTGATAGAGATCTTACTAGCACATTAACCATGATATAATGCCATCTTTTCCTTCATATTAAACATGGTTACATTCATGATCACACATACCTTTCTTAATAGAGACAGTTTGGTTTTCAAAAGCATCTATTAAATAACACAAAGCTATATGCAGGGTGATCCTGTGGTTTGGAGGCAAATGTTTGAATCAGTAGTTAGGAGAGCTTCAGTCCTTTATCCAGCCCACTGAAGGCCAAATTCTCATACACAACTTTCTAAGTGTCATTTTTCTCAAATGGCTAATTTGTTACCAATATCCCAGGTAGTCTACATGGGTTTGTTAGGGAAATGAAAGGGAAGCACCTGAAAGTTTCAATTTTATCTGAATATGAGCTATTAGTATCTTGAAAAGAATGTTTAGGGAATAAATATTTTAAATGCCATCAGAGTCCTGTTTCTTAGAATGAAAATAACTGTTTTACATGCAGATAGGACCATACTTTATAAGAATATGTAAAAATTACCTCATATCTCCACAGTCCTCCAATGTCATTCCTCTGTTCAAAACATACAGGCTCAAGCCCTTCTTCCAAGCAGCACTTAATGGCACCTAACCCACTGACCCCAGCGCCAATCACTGCAATCTTTTTTGCTTTCATGTCTCCTAAAGACAGAAAAGTTGTTCAGCCTTGTTTTAAGAAGACCAAGGTTCATTGCTGTGTCAGTGTCCTATTCATTTAATATTCTATTATCTCTTTTGATGGAAATTTGCTTGTTTCAATTACAGCTTATATTGAGTTAACTTAGAATTCAAATAAAATATATTGTGTACAGACAAGATATGTTTACACATACATAAATATTTTGCTGACTCTCTATACACTTGAGTTTTGCATTCACAGATTCTATCAACTACTGATTCTATTAGGTTGAAAATATTAAAAGAAGAAATTGTATCAGTGTTGAACATGTACAAGCCTTTTTCTTGTCATCATCTCTTAAATGATGCAATATAATGACTATTTATCCAGCATTTATGTAGTATTAAATGTTATAAATTATCTAATTTTGATTCAAAGTTGAAGGGAGGATTGTACAGGTTATATACAGACATTGTAAAATTTTATATAATATATAAACATGACATTCTACAGATTGTGGTATGTGTATTTGTGTGTGTGTGTGTGTGTTTTCCTGGAACCTATCATCAAAGATTGAGAGTTGACTATATATATATATATATATATATATATATGCACCAGATTTTTGATCTTTTCATTAGAGTCATGAAAGTATTGCCCCATTTTTTTTGGTTTTTTGGTTTTTTCTCCGGTACCAGGATCCAAACTCATGACCTTGCTCTTGCCAGGCAGGCACTTTGCCGCTGAGCTAAATCCCCAGCCCCGTATTGCCCCATTTAATCAAACAAAATTTATACAAACTTTCATGTGTTTAACAATTTTTATGGTAGAAATATTGCAGACCATATTAAAGTCTATTAAAATTTGATATATTCATAATGCAAAAGTGTTATATAATAATTTACTAATAGCTACAGAAGTGCTCAGGGTGGCTAGAAACATGTATAGGAACGGGTCTTCACATTTTTAAATTTCTATTCTATTCTAGGTCTATTTTCTAGTCCATTTCTACTCAGTTGGATCAGATGAACTACGCATTATCAGAAGTGCAGAAATTGAAACAGAACAGACACATTGAGCTATATTTTGTCTCTTCACTTGGTAAATTGACATGAAATCTTTTGGGGCTTTTGGTTTTGACTGCTGTGAAGGGAAATTATTAGAAGGAATATACTCATTCTTTATTGCTTCAAAGTCAACATGCCCACCTGTCTTCAAAACCCTTGGGAATCACTTCCTCATACCCAACATCTGATCTCTGGCACCACCCTACCTCTTGAACATCACCATTATATTACACAGCACATTGTAATCTTGCTATGTCAACACATTTCTGCTTTTTCCATCCCTTTTTTGTTCAGAAAGTCTTCTCTTTCACATATTACCCAGTGATGACTATTCATCAAGGCTCAGCTCTGTCAAATGGGAGAAACAATCTTGATGTTCAGATGTTATCGCTTCATTGAAGTTTTTCTTGACCAACATCAGTACCTACTCTGAGAACTTTTACTCTAATAAGATAGAAAACACTGAAGAAATGGACACATTTCTAGACACCTATGAATTACCAAAGTTGAATTAAGCAGATCTTAAAATCTAAATAACCCAATATCAGTTGATGAAATTGAAAATGTAAACACTTACCAGCAAAGAAAAGCCCAGGTCCCAATGGATTCACTGCTGAATTCTACAAGAAATTTAGAGAAGATCTAATGCCTTTACTTGTCAATCTCTAATGAAACTGAAAGGGAAACAATACTTCCACAGTCATTTCTAGGAGCAAGTATTACCCTGACACCAAAGCTAGAGAAGGCAATACTCAGTTTAAAACTTTTCTCAAGTTTTCTAGATTTCTGTTTCATGACATCATTCTGAGTGTGTCATACTAACTAGATGGTGCAGCTCTGAGGACAGAGCCAGTACCATTCTCTTCGAGTTTTCTCATCATACTGTCCCAAGACAGTACAGGGTCTCAGTGATGGAGAAATGGGCTAGCCCCACTAAGGTCAAATCCTTATCTCAATCTGATTTTGATGGGGAAGGAGATTCCTGCTTCTCTGCCATTTTAGGTACAATCTTGGGATACTACTTCTGTTTTCTCTTCCTTTTGCATTCTCATTCGCTTATCACAGGGGAGATGGAATGGCTCCTGTGATGACTGAGGTGGCTGTTGATGTCTTTTGGATGAAGCAAGCCTGCAGCCCTACCTGCTTTGACTGAGACTTTCTTCCACCCTTCAGAGATCTGAACTACACTGTGGTCATCCATGCAGTTGATGTGATGGGCATTCTGAAGAATTTATCCTTTCAGTTAGTTTCCAATCTCTAGACTTGAGGGACAAGGATTAAGAGTTCCATTCAAATTGTAGGTCAAGCCACATTCTCCAATCCAGCTTGAATGAGAAGCTCTGCACTTAGGCCAATAAAGCCAGTTTTATGCTATGCTCCTTCCTCACTTGGTTAGAACCAGTAAATGAATGATACATACTTATGTTGCTAGAACCACCACACTGATATCTGTTGTAAATATATTTCTTCCTTTCCTTTTCTTAATAAGCACATTCTATATTAATTTCTAAATGGAATTTATAATTTATTTAATCTTGGAATGCATATAAACACATACTGTTTTAAATTTCAACTTAATATCTAGAAATCACTATTCATATACAGCTATTACAGATTATGATCTGTCACAATGAATCTAGTAATTTTTTTCATTCTTTTATTTTCCATCCCATGTGCAAGGTATAATTGCTATTTAAAAATTATGAAACACTAAATTAAAAAGAAAAAATATACATTCTGTCAATAGATATCATTCAATATACATATATATAGTTCTATCTATCTATCATCTATCTATCTAATCTATCATCTGTCTTCTACCTATTTAACTTTAACATACTATTTATCATATTTCACCTGTTTTTTTTATCTAACAACTTTGTGGACATATTAGCATATATAAAAGGGTTTTCAGAAAATATTTGTTAAAAGAATTAATACAATTTATTGCATGAAAAATTTATATTACATAATGTTTCTATTATACAATTTAGATTTTTCCAGATTGTCACTATTACAAATAAACTTATATTTTCTGACTTTTCAAAATATGTTTTTCTGGCTACAAAAGTTCTGCTACTTTATTTCCCCTTCAGTCAATTGAATCTTCTTCAGCAGGTTATGAGAACACAGGCTTTTCTCTTGGTATGTTTGCTAGGAACACATAAGTAACTGATTCCTGTCTGGTAAATGGTACCAGTGTTTCAATAAATAAATGAAAATCATGCAGTGCACAAAAGTGAAGTAAAAACTAAACAATGTGTTGGAAGGGCAGTATATATTACATTTCCATCAAATTTTTAAGGGGCCCCCAACTGAGTTTCTGTCAGTTCTTCATTTCATTGTTCTTAGACCCTGTTTTTGCTCAATCCTTAATTTCATGTCTGTATGAAATTATTTTCCACTCAAAAATGTATGAATCATAGGAAGAAATAGTTGCCAGACACAGAGGTTTGATTCTATCACCAAGGTGAAAGTGTGAGTTTACCACCAAGGAATTTTGTTTACTCCAGGAAAGGAAAGAGAAGTACAGCAACAGGTACGACATATAGGAAAACATAAGTGCTACGACTCTAAAGGCTGTATTTCCTGCATACAGTCTTTCATTTGTTCAACTCATGTCTCAACCTAGGACAAATAACTGAGAATCAAGAAATCCTAGCAATTCTGGAACAAACTGTTTCTGTTGGAAGGGTGGTAAAAACTGGTGCAATAAAGAAGTGGGGTGGAAGAATGCAGAAATTCCAGTATCCCCAGCTTGCTAACCATAATCTTTTGTTGCCCTAGAGGAAAGGGTTTTCAATCCTTGAGGGTGGGAGGAATTAGCCTCTTCTGGATTTATGTGTTATGCAGTTGTGTGATTGAAGTTTCTGTCCTGGACTCCTCAGGTGTTTATGTGACAGGGGCAGGTGCTGCAGGAGCTCACCTCCACTGTCCTTGCTATCCAGTGCTCTGCAGTTTGCCCAAGGTGCCCACTCAACCTCTAGGGAACCTGGGCGCTGCTGGTATCTTCCAATTATCAGACTTTTATATACTTACCTAGTCCCTTTATTTCAAGGGGAGTAGGGTAGGACGCTTATAGCTGTGCCTGGAAGGACCCACCTTTTTTTTTCCTAAGGATATATAATTACTGTAGACAGAGATATAACTGGCATTAGTGAAACCTGAAGGACATATGTCTCAAATTTCTCCCTTTGGAGCTCTCAGCAAAAGAGAAGCACCCTTTCCCACGCATCTTCTCAGAAATCTGTAATAACAAAGTAGTTCAGAGTCATTTCCAAAGTGGTATGTCTTTACCCTACGACAAGAATCTCCAGAGAGACAGAGCCATGAGAGTATCAGTGAACATATAGATATAGATTAGATATGGATATTAGATGCAGCTATGGATATAGATATATGAGAGGGGTTTATTAGGGGCATAGACTTACATGGCAGTGGAGGCTGAGAAGTCCCACTTTCAGCTCCCTGAAATCTGGAGACTCTTTAGGGCTGGTAGTTTGGCTCAGTCCAGATCTGGAACTGTCAGAATCAAGGAAGCCGATGGTGTATCTCTTTCTGTGAGGCTAAAGACATGAGAACCCAGAGAATTTATAGGCTATGTCTCAGAGTACTGTATTGAAAGCCTGGCGCTCTGAAGCTCAAGGGCAAAAGAGTGTCTCAGCTCTGGGAGAGAGTGAAAAGATCAGTCTCTCTACCTTTTGGTTGTATTTATTCTCCCAGACCTTTGGATGTGCTGCCAACATTGAGGGTGGGTCTTTCCCATTTGATCCACTCAATCACAGCCCCATATCCTTGGAAACACTCCCACAGATCTGGCACACCTGGGCAGTACCATCCTTCTAATCAAATGCTAAGCCATCTGGATTTCTTTTCCCAGAAATTTAACAGAAGAGGAATGGGTGTGATACATACTAAGCTTTGATAATATTAATATATTACCTGCTAATT